ACAAATAAATCATTATCGACAAATCACACTGCATAGTCCATAATGCAAAGTATGTGTACAGAGTTCATTAAGAACACACCAAATACCAAAAATGTAAAAGATTGCAATTTTAATCAAAAGATTAGAACTTTAATCATCATCATCAAACACTATAACCATGTGTGCATTGTTCAATTTAACCAACAAAGCCCACATGTAAATTTTAACCCTAAAAACCCAAGAGCCTGAATTAACAATAAATGTTTTCAAAAACAAGCATCAATCATTATTTAAAAATTGAGATTATGCAATCATACTAGTATTTTCCAAAATTATGCAATATTTTTAGTGTAAAATTGAGTTCAATTTTATTTATCTCAGTTTGGGTAAACCCTAACCATATCAGCATTGGTTCTCACCAAATCCACCTCCTTCAAATACTAAATCATAATGCACTCCCAAATTAGCAGTTCGAGATACAAAATCACAATCCACCTCCTTCAAATACATGAAATACCATACTGATTTGAGGAACTAATTTCTAAATACCTTGAGTGACTGTTAGACGCGGCGGAGATCACGGCGGCGGACGTGGCGGCGGCGGCCAAAGGGTGAGAAGAGACTGCTGGAGACAGCGGCGATGACGTCGGCGAAGACAAACTCAGGCGGCGACGACGAACTAGATAAAACGAGACGCAGCAATTGGCCGCGTAGGCGGACGGCGGCGGCCAAAGACCGAACGGGGGCAGCGGCGGTTTAGGGTTAAACAGTGTGGTAAAAAATTCTTATCTGTAAAAATCAATATATATCGAACATCGCTGACGGGTTACCCGTCAGCGATGTTCATTTCCCGTCAGCGATGTTTTATCCCTGACGGTATCGAAAACATCGCTGACGGCAACATTTCTGACGGTTTTTCCCGTCAGAGATATAAACATCGCTGACGGCTATTACCCGCCAGCGATGTTGCCGGCAGCGATGTATATACATGCAAAAAGGCCAAAATATTATACCTTAATGTATGCAACATGAAATATGCGCAAGCAATGAGAATAGCAAGGTTGTCGACCACCAACTTGCAACTATGGGCTGATCATATGGAATCTGTGCAAGAGATATAACTAGCACATTCATGCTGACATCATCGTTACCCAACAATAACACTCACTAATCCCATACTTAACTTTGTAAAGCCGCTCTCAAGTCACTACTCACTCTCTCATATTCTCAAACACACCAAAAATGTCAGAGCCCTCTCCGCCCCCAAACTAACGCGCGAATGGTTCTTTCCCTACGCTACCTTATCTTCCACACCGCTTCCTCCTCCAAAACCCTAAACCCTAACCCTAACTTCTAGAATATGTCACTCCGCCTTCCCCTCAACCTCCACCTCCTCCTTTATTGGTGGCAGCCAGCGAATTCCCACCCCCCAAAACCCTACCTCTGTGACTCAGGTTTGTACCCACTTCTTAAAAACAACTTCTAAGCGGGAACTAGATTCTTAGGCAACACATTTAGAGCTCTCTGCAGCTAATACTTGTTGACCCTATAGTTTTGATGATGATTTGTCAAACAATTTATCACTAATATATTCTCTAGTTTTGTGTTTATATTTCTCTTTATAGGTATTTCAACACATGACAATCAAGAGTTAAAGATTCAAGTTCATATGTGTGGATTTACCTAGGTATAAGTTTAGCTTACTTACATATATTGTATGTTAATATCTAAGCTCAATATATGTACACTTAACACGGTTTATGACGTTTTCCATCATATAAATGATTTTTCATCAAACGTTGTTACAATATCTTTTATTTCATGTTTACAGCTCTTTCATAATTCATTATATACATATAATATATATATATAATATATATACATATTTACAAGCCTTATGTCAATTTTCATGTTCACGAAAAACAGGTTTTCTGAACACTTTTCAAAAACAGGGAGTTTTCACCAACGAATTTATTTTCAATACTCTGTATTTTTGAGCTTCGCGGTCGACCGCCGAACTGTCAGATCATTTCCAACGGTTAGTTTTTACAGCTGTTTTTAAATGGGTTTTTTGGTCTTTTACTTGTGTTTTTTACTGATGTATTGGGTTACGATATATACCCCATTGCTGCTCTCCTTCAATACATCCAAAAAATCCAAGTTTTGTGTTTAACAAAATATTTAGTGTGTTTCAAAGAGCTGTTTAAAGCTGATTTCATCAATTTGTTTCAAGAGAAGTTTTTCTACAACAAGAAGTAGCTTTCAAATCCTATTGGGATCATCATCTACTGTTCCTCTTGTTTGAGAAGTTTTCTACAACAAGAAGTAGCTTTCAAATCCTATTGGGATCATCATCTACTGTTCCTCTTGTTTGAGAAGTTTTCTAAACTCTTACATAGCTTGTTATTTCTATTGGGATCATCATCTACTGTTCCTCTTGTTTGAGAAGTTTTCTAAACTCTTACATAGCTTGTTATTTCATTTTCATTTCAATTAGCTATATTTATTGAGTTTCATTCGCTGTTATCACATACACATATTGAGCTTAATATCTTCATACCATATAGTGTGGGTTGTGGAGTGTGATTTAGTGAGTGTGAGCTTCATTGTGTTCTCACTTGTTATTTGAGAACAAACAATTGTATTTAATCTTCTTTTGTGAGAATCACTTGTAATACACTTATACACCAAGAGAAGTGTAAGGTGAGAGACGGGGTCGAATCCAATAGGAGTGGCGTCGGTTAACGAACCTAGGGAGAGGTTGTAACCGAACACTTGAGGAGGAGGACACGGGCTAAGTTCCTACACTTAGTGTGCAAAGTGTGATTGATTAGTGATTGTGTAGTGTGAGAGTTTTTGGTAATCTTGTAAACCGAGTGTGTAGAAGTTTCGGCTTCCAAACCGGATTGTGATAGTGGATATCTCCTCGAGGTGAGGAGCGGGGACGTAGGTCGTGGTGACCGAACCTCATAAACATATCGTGTGTTTGTGTTTTGCTTGGCTTATATTTTATTTGTGCATATTCTTATTGTTCTTATTCATATCTATCTCTTGCAAGAACATATTGATCAATATAATTTTTAATTGGTAATTAATCGGGATTAGATTAGCATAAGACCCTAATCACCCCTCCTCTAGGGTCTAACAATTGGTATCAGAGCTTGGTGCTCTTTGATTTAAGGTCTAACCGCCTTGAGTTAAAGATCCAAGTTATCGTTTTTGTGCTAATCTAGTGTTGATTGCATTTTGCTTCTTGCATATTGTCTTTATGGATATGTATAATTCATCTAGTTTAGGATATGCTATTAATATTGCTGCTCGTTTGGATATTTTTCCCTATGCTCAATGGCGTGTTAGATTCAAACTTTTCGTTCAATCTAAATAATTTGATTTATGAGAAATTATTGAGGATGTCTATATTGTTCTCATTTTGGAAAAATCCAAATGGTGTGAAAATGATAAAAGATTGTTTAATATGAATAAGCTTTTGTTAGAATATTTGATTAATGCTTTTCACTCATTGTTTTCTAACAAATTTGCTAATTTTGATAGTGCTTACGCCTTATGAAAATTTGCACATGAAGGGGAATTGGAGGCTATTCAACAAGCGTTGGAAAATCCCGCTTTGAGTTCTAAAGAAGTCTCATCTCCATGTACAATACCACTAGGTGATAATCCTAGTGAAGTATGTGATAACGATGACATTATTACTTTTGATGAACTTGCTCTTGAGTTTCAAAAATTACACAATTGCTATATTGATGTAAAGAGTAAGTATGTTAATATGAAATCCACTCATGAAACACTAGCTACTAAGTTTAATTTTATTGCAAATAAAAATATAATTCTTAAAGAATGCAATAAAAATTTAAAATTTAAAAATGCTAGTTTGCTACATGAAAAACGTGATGCTATGTTAGAAGTAGATAAGTTAAAATCTATGATGAGTAATCTTGTTTATCCTACTTCTAGTAGCAATGCTTGTATGCACAATGATGAGTTGAATCAAATGAGAAAACGAATGTCCACCTTAGATTCAACACTAAACACTTATATTGCTAATAATAAAAAGCTTATGGACTTATGTGCAAAGTTCAATGCTAATTCCTCTAAGAAACCTATTCACTATGCACATATGTATGACAAAATTCACAAATGTTCTATTTGCGGTCTTAAAGGCCATTTAGCTCAATTTTATCATAATGCACCAAAAATTGACAAGCCTATTCATGATTATGCATCCCATCAAGCTTCTTCATCACAAACACATGTTCACACACATAGTGTAAATCATAAACATGCTCATGTGTATAAATGTGATTATTGTGGTCGTTTTGGTCATTTGGCCATGTTTTGTTTCGATTTGAAAAGAAATTCTCGTTTGCAAAATTATTACAAAGAAAAATCTACTTTTGCAAAAGAACCACGTGCATTTAATTTCGGTCAACGTAAACCATTCAAACCTCTACATTGCACAAATTACAATCGTATGGGTCATGTTTGTTGGCCTTTTTATTTTGATGATGTTTAACAAACAATTTACCACTAATGTTGTTTGTCTAGTATTTGTGTTTTCTTATTTATTATAGACAAACAACGTTGTTGGAGGATGGATGGATTGTGCCATAACGATCATATCCAATGGAGGTTGGAGGAATAGTGGAGTGAAGCCTTGCAAATTCAAGTTCAAGATCCAAGTTCAGCTTCATCCGCATTGTGTACCAAGTCAAGCTTATTGAAGATCAAGATCTAGCTTGGGTAATCTAGTTTAGATTTTATATTATGTGTGTTAGATACTCTAAGCTCAATATCATACACACACACACACATTTATTGGTTTCTTCGTATATATATATAGTTATATATATATAGGCTAAATACCCATATTGGTATTTTAATTCAACCCCATTTGCCAACAAGGTATTTTAATTAGTAAATTCGGCGATAAGACATTTTAATTGAATAAAATTACCATTTAGGTCCTTTTTCTCGTCGGCGGCCACTTTTCCGACGAGAACTCATCACGTGCGTTGCACGTGGGGGCTTAATCTGTGTTTAAGAGCTGATGTGGCTCTCCTTTCTCTCTCTAAACCCCCCCCATTAAACCCTGACCTCCTCGCCCTTTCTCTCGCTTTTACCCTACTCTCCGACCTAGACAGCGACAAGACCGAACCTTTACTGGTCTCCGACGCGCTGCTGTGCTGCTGCTGATTGTAGCTGGGATCAGCTTCAGGATCAATCCCAGAATCGCTCGGCCATGGTTGAAGCTCCAATGGCGAATCAGGGAAAGTGGTATCAAGCGAGGGGAGCTCGGCAATGGCAGACTCCGCAGCCTTAATCAGTCATTCAATAGCTTTACTGGGCTGATCGTAACCAAGACGATCTTGCAGATCGTAAAACTGAATGGCCGTAGAAACTGAGAGAACCCGACGGTCTCTAAGCCCTTTCGCTGTATAGACTTTGCTGTGTCGATCTTTGCCGCCGGAGGCTCTCGAGACTCGAAAAATTCTCGATGAAGGATGGTGCCAAGGCCTCATTCGGTTGCTGCTACTGCTGTTGTTATTGATAATGCTTAGCTCCTTGTTCTGGTCTTCGTCGTCCTCGTCGTCGTCTAGCTTGGCGGCGGCCTGGTTGCCGTTGCCGACGCGGGAACGCTTGTGGTTGCGGTGGTTTTCTTCAATCTCCATCCCGCTTTCATGCCTCAATGAGCCAAGCCCAACGTTTTGAATTTTGTTTTCTCTCTGCAGAGAGAAAGGAGGAGAGAGAGAGAAAGGAGAGCCAATTTAGCTTAAATGGGGGAGGTCAGGGTTTAGAGAGAGAAAGGAGAGCCACATCAGCTCTTAAACACAGATTAAGCCCCTACGTGCAACGCACGTGATGAGTTCTCGCCGGAAAAGTGACCGCCGACGAGAAAAAGGACCTAAATGGTAATTTTATTCAATTAAAATGTCTTATCGCCGAATTTCCTAATTAAAATACCTTGTTGGTAAATGGGGTTGAATTAAAATACCAATATGGGTATTTAGCCTATATATATATATATAGTTTGTAAGAAGCCTTCATTTGATTTTAAGTGTATAGTTGTGAACATGGACATATGAAAAAGAAAGTCCTCAACTCCTTAAGCCTACATATAGAAGTGTCATGTCCTCTATATTGCAATTAATGGAAACCAATCTTATGGCACTGGCATTGAGAAAGATCTGCATATTTGGTTGTAAGGTGATGCTAATTATATTCTCTGATGCCAGCTCCACTAAAGCTTCGCTAACATGAAGCCCAACAAAGAAGCTAAAAATAGTAGCAGAAATCACCATTCTTCATACAATTATCTAGTATCCCTTTGCTACGTTTAAATTCCATTTGTACATTAGTTTTACTGTCCAGAAACATTGTTGTTTGTGTTGTGAATGAAAACCCTAATTCATTATGAGATCTCTTGGGCTTTATATAGGCCCCTACACAAGTTACAAATAAGTCCCTAACTAATACTAATATATCAACACTCCTCCTCAAGATGGGCGAAAGATATCTACTAAGCCCATCTTGTCACATCCTCTAATCATATCTACTGAGCTAAGTCCTTTAGTCAGACAATCTGCTGCCTGGTCCTTAGTCGAAACATGACTTAGCTCCAGTAGTCCACTATCCAACTTCTCTTTGATGAAGAACCTATCGATCTCGATGTGTTTGGTTCTATCATGCTGCACCGGGTTGTTGGCGATACTGATGGCTGACTTGTTGTCACACCACAACTTCATCTTAGCTCCTTGATCCAGCTTCAGCTCCACCAGCATACTCTTCAACCATAGCAACTCAGCAACTCCTAAGGCCATAGCTCTATACTCTGCCTCAGCTGTCGATCTCGCCACCACCGACTGCTTCTTGCTCTTCCACGAGACTAAGTTGCCTCCTATAAAGATGCAGTATCCTGAGGTGGACCTCCTGTCATCAGCACAGCTAGCCCAATCAGAGTCACAATAACCCTCAATGCTCATGTGTTCATTCTTCCTGAAGATTAGCCCTTTTTCGGGGGCATTCTTCAAATACCTTAGAATCTGGTACACTGCGTCCATATGACCCTTCCTTGGATCATGCATGTAGCGACTCACCACGCTCACTGCAAAAAAGATATCGGGACGTGTGTGATACAGATAGATCAACCTGCCTACCAACCTTTGGTATCTGTCACGATCAACTGGTTCTCCAGCTTCAGCACCCAGCTTAAACTTCTGGTCGATCGGTGTAGTTGCAGGTTTGCATCCTAACATTCCTGTTTCTTTGAGAAGATTCAGTGCATACTTTCTCTGGGATAGGACGATCCCCTCCGCTCCTCGAGCTATCTCTATTCCAAGAAAGTATCTAAGCAAGCCAAGATCTTTCACCTCAAATTCCTTACCCAGTCTCACTTTGAGTTGGGCAATCTCCTTCTCATCATCCCCTGTAATAATCATATCATCCACATATACCGCAAGCATAGTAATGTGGCCTCCACTCCGTCGAAAGAACACTGTATGGTCGGCGTTGATCTGTTGGTATCCCATACCAATCATAGCCCTTCTGAATCTGTCGAACCAAGCACGGGGAGATTGCTTCAGACCATAGAGAGACTTCTTCAATCTGCAGACCTTTCCCACTGTCTGATCTGTACCAAATCCTGGTGGTATCTCCATGTATACCTCCTCCACTAGATCTCCATGAAGAAATGCATTCTTCACATCTAGTTGGTGTAGCTTCCATCCACCATTCACTGCCAGAGAGATTAAGGTCCGAACAGTGCTCATCTTCGCCACCGGTGCAAAAGTCTCATCATAATCGATGCCATATGTCTGACTATACCCTTTTGCCACCAGGCGAGCCTTGTAGCGCTCAACTTGTCCATCTGGATTCTGCTTCACAGTGAAGACCCACTTGCATCCAACTGCTCCCTTTCCTTCTGGTAACTTTACTAGCTCCTAAGTGCGGTTCTTCTCTAGAGCTCCTAGCTCCTCGTGCATAGCCGCTTTCCATTTTGGGTCCTTCTTAGCAACCTGCCAATTGTTAGGTACAGTAACAGAGTCCAATGATGCAATGAATGCTCCATATGCAGGGTGGATACTAGAATATGATACATACTGGGCAAGATCCCAACCATATCTATCGGGAGGATGTCCCGCATTACTGCGAGTAGTCCTCCGTACTGATATTGGTGTGGGAGGAGTAGGGAGAGGAATGTTATCAGTAGGAATGTTATCACCTTGGGATGAAATTGGTGGTGGTGTAGGTATTTCAGGAGTCGGGGTGGGCTTTGGCAAGAGACTTGGCAGCACTAGTGGCACTGTAGGTACTGTTTCTCCAATTTGTTTGCCCTTCCTACTATAGGTTAGTAGCTCCCCCTGAACAGTGGGCCTAACACCTCTTGTCTCTTGTTCCTTTTCTTCGTGATTCTCCGGCTCCTCCTCAACCAACTCCTCCTCAACCAATTCGCCCTCCCAAGGAATCGATACAGAAATGGATTTCTCCACATTGTTCTCCGGTCTCTCACCATTCTCCTCCTCTCGCCCCATACTTCTAGTATTGGACGAGTTACCAGCAGATGAAGTTACCTTCTGAGTGTAATATGGCTCGAGTTCTCGAAAGTGCACATCCATGCTCACAAACAACCTTTTTTCCACCGGGCTCCAGCAAACATATCCCTTCTGAGTAGCAGAATATCCCACAAAGATACACTTCACAGCTCTAGGGGCAAGCTTCCCGACAGACGGCCTGTTGTCCTTCACAAAACACACACAGCCAAACACTTTGAGTGGAAGGATCCCACCATTATCTCCTTTCAATATCTCACACGGAGACTTCCAATCCAGCACTCTCGAGGGCATTCTGTTGATCAACGCTGCTGCGGTCAATACTGCTTGTCCCCATAATGTCTCTGGGACATTCATAGAGATCATCATGCTTCTAGCAACCTCTAAAAGATGTCTGTTCTTCCTTTCCGCTACCCCATTCTGTGCTGGAGTGTATGGACAGGTTGTCTGGTGATGTATTCCTTGAGCTGACAAATATTCTTCAAGGGCTCTGTTGGTATACTCTGTCCCATTATCTGACCTCAATACTTTCACCACTGCTCCGTATTGAGTCTGAACAGTCTTATGAAAATTTTGGAAGCACCCAAACACATCACTCTTATTCTTCATCAGGTATAACCAAGTAACACGAGAGAAGCAATCAATAAATGTAACAAAATATTTGTATCCATTCATAGAACTTGTGGAACAAGGCCCCCAAACATCTGAATGTACCAGGTCAAATGCATTTTATCTAGCTTATTTATGCTTAACTTGTCATATTTATTTTGCTAGATTAAATTGAGTTTAGACTTGTTTTTCTTATTGCTTACACACACAATCATTGAGCTTATTGTATTTTCATACTTCGTATAATTTGGGTTGTGGGGAGTTGTAAAAATTGAGAGTGAGTTATATTGAGTTCTTATCTATTGTAGAGAACATATTTGTTGTGCTTAATTGAGTTCTCTTCTATTGTAGAGAACAAATTTATATTTGTTACATTGTGAGTGGTGTAAGGTTTTCGGTGAGCTAGAAAACCGAGTGTGTTGTGAAGTTTTCGGTGAACTAGAAAACCGAGTGTGAGGAGTGACGTTGATCGGTGAGCGTTGAAAACCGACACTGTGAGGTGTAAACGTTATTCGGGTGAGCGTAGAAAACCCGGTTGTGATAGTGGATTTCTCCCCGGGAGTGGGGAGCGAAGACGTAGGACGGAAGGTCCGAACTCCGTGATCATATTGCTTGTTTGAGTTTGTCTTTGGCGTATTTGTTTTTGTATTTATCTTATATCGCCAATTGTGCATTGCTCATTTATTTCAACCCACTATCTAGTCTAGTTTGCTTACCCTTGTGTGATTTGTATATCCTTGTATATATCTCATAGCATATCTCTTTGCTAGGATATATCCCTTAGTTCATATTGCTTATCCTAGCTCATATATCTTGTTGTATTTCATACTTGCTAGGATAACTTGTTAATTAATTTTAATTGGTATATAATCGGATTAGATTAGCATAAGACCCTAATCACCCCCTCTCTAGGGTCCAACATTCATTTCCCCTAAAAATCGTCCCAAGCTTAAGATCTAAGTGTCACCGTTGCCCAAACCTTGGTCATCGCCGTATCACCCAAATCGCTGTCACCGTGGTCGTCACCGCGACCGTCACAGTCTCTTTACAAATTATGGATATAAATGATGCATCTTGTTTAGGTTATGCCATCAATATCGCTCCTAGATTAGATAATTTCCCCTATGCCCAATGGTGTGTTAGATTTAAACTTTTTGTTCAATCTAAACACTTTGATTTATGGGAAATTATAGATGATACTTATATTGTGTCCACTATGGAGAAATCCAAATGGAATAAAAATGATCATCGTATGTTTACAATGAACAATATTTTGTTAGAATATTTGCTAAATGCTCTTGATTCATCTATGCCTAAAAAAATTGTTCATTTTGATAGTGCTTACACCTTATGGAAATTTATTAAAGCGCATCAAGGGGACTTAGAGGCGATCCGACAAGCTTTGGAGGATCCGGCTTCAAGTTCATATGGAGCATCATGCACACGGCCACTAGGCGATAGCCCTAGTGAGGTTTACGAGTTCAAAACCACTAATGATTTATCTAGTGATGAACTTGCTTATGCTAGTAAAAATTATTGCATGCCTTTAACAAATTGCATAAAG